CACGGGACGGGAGGAAACTCCCTCCAAAACTCGCTTCATCCTCATCAGCAAAGACGGGCTGGACCTCGCCGGCCCCGCAGCCCCGCGCCGTGGGCCCCACTCTGCCGGGAACGCCACAAGGAGACGTGGAAAGCACAAGAAACTTGCTGACAAGAGCAGGGATGGTGCCCACGCCGCCACTGCCACTGCTGCGGCCACCGCCATGGGTGGCAGGAGCCGGACGCTGGGTGCGACACCAAGAGCAGCTCCCGGAGGAGCTGGCACTGGCCGGGATGGGCAGGAGAGAGAAGGAGCAGCTCCTGGAGCAGCTGGCACTGGCCAGGATGGGCAGGAGAGAGGGGCAGCAGCTCCTGGAGCAGCTGGCACTGGCCGGGATGGGCAGGAGAGGGCAGGGAGCAGCCCAGGGATGCACAAAGTCCTGTCCATGGATGCAACGCTCGCCCCGAGAGATCCCCGAGCTCCTGGCCAGTTTGGACACCCTGTTGCTGTCCCTGATGATAAACAAGAAGAAGCAAAAAGTAGATGGAAAGAAGGAAACTTTAATGTCTACCTCAGCGACCTGATTCCTGTGGATCGAGCCATCGCAGACACCAGGCCTGCCGGGTAAGATCTGCTCCCAAACCCCGGGCTGCCCCTGGGGATGGGCTCCGTGGCTCTGGGGAGGGCTGCTGGGGGCACACCGAGGTGGCTTTTGGCCAGGTCGGAGCAGCCTGTTGTTCAAGGTGAAGCTGGGTAAGGTTTGTGGGTTGTCGCAGCCCCCTGAGCCCGGCTGCCCGGCGGGACCAGGACACCCAGCCCGGGTGATGGGCTCAGGCCTCTCTCTGTGCCCGGGAACGCCGGAGCTGCAGCGTCAGGAGCAGCTCTGGGCATTCCCAGCTGGTGTGTTGGCTCCTGGAGCCTGCACCCCGTGCGTGTGTGAGGGGCTCTCACACCCCAGGCTGCGTGGCCCTTCCCGGGACAAAGGGACACAAGGGACCCTCCCGGCCAGGACCTGCTCCACAAAGCCCCGCAGGAGCTGAGTGCTGGCACCGTCCAGCAGGCACAGGCTGGGGGGCTCTGCTCTGTGGGCACAGGGAGGGCTGTGCTGTTTGGGCTTGGAAAACCCGCACAGCTACAGCTGTCACTAAATGTGTCCTGCACATCTCGGGACTGCGCTCCAAAAAAGCCTCTCCCTGCCAGTAGAGAGGAGCAGGACGAGGTGAGGGCAGTGCCAGGGCAGCAGAAGAGGCTGGGAGCCCCATCCTGAGCTGCCGTGCCAGGCGGGCTCGGCACTGCTGCCTCGGTGCTTGTATTTGATGACCTTAAAGCTCTTTCTCAACCTAAGCCATTCTGTGACTGCTGCAGGGAGGGCAGGGAAGGTGCCAGCTCAGGTGAGGGCCAGGTTCATCTCTCGCTCTCAGCCCTCCCTACAGACATTCTCAGCCCCTGGGCAGGTGAGACCTGCCCCGTGCAGAGACCCTCGCGTGTCCCCACACCCCCAGACCTCGGGTACTGCGGGCTGGGAATTGTGCTGTGCTCGTCCCCCGTGGCACAGGGCAGTGCAGACACTCCCACCGTGCCAGGGGTGCTTGCTGAGGTCAGATCCTGCCCAAGAGGAGTGGAGCGGGGACAGGGGGACACAGCTGGGGCTGCTTCCTGATGCCTCCTTCAGAAGCCACCCGTGCAGAGGAGCAAAGCCATGGCACAAAGCCAGCACTGGGCTTGGTCTGGACAGCAAGCCCTGGAGCTGCAGAGCAGGAAGCACCTCCAGGGAGTGACACCTGCCCAGGAGGAGCTGCTTTGCCTTCACAGGGAACTCCTTGGGCAAACAGGGCACGTCCCTGGGCGTGTGAGCTGCTGCCACGGGGCATGGAGCTGCCCTGGGCACTCTGGTTCTGGCAGGAGCCTGTGCAGGTTCTGCCCTGGCCCATTGGCACAACAGGTACCAGCTTGTCAGGGCCAGCTCAGGGCAGTGGCTGTTGGCAGATCTTGGCAGCCAACAATTATTTTTTGGTGTATTCCAGTGTGTCCCAGTTTAGACTCCAGTTCCCGTTGTGATTCTTCCTGGAGTACTGGGCCAGACCACTGAAATGGGGCCAATCCATGCCAGTGCTCGCTGCTTTTGGGGCTTTACTGACAGTGCTGGTGCTCACAGGAACTGTGTCTCTGCAGCTGGTGTGAGGGACAGTGCCCTGAGGAGGAGTGTGATGGGCAGGAGGCTTGTGGGGAGCGCTCCATGCAGAGCCCAGATCAGGAGTCCTGGGGCTGAAGGGAAGAGGAAGCTCCAGGGTGACCTTGGAGCCCCTTCCAGTGCATAAGGGGGCTCCAAGAGAGAAGGAGAGTGACTCTGGACAGGGGCCTGGAGTGCCGGGACAAGGAGCAGCTGTTTCCCACTGCCAGGGGCAGGGACAGATGGGACACTGGGAGGGAATCCGAGGGAATCCTTCCCTGGAGGCTGGGGAGGCTCTGGCACACGGTGCCCAGAGAAGCTGTGGCTGCCCCTGGATCCCGGGAAGTGTCCAAGGCCAGGTTGGACAGGGTTCTGAGCAACCTGGGACAGTGGAAAGTGTCTGTGGGAGTGGTTGGAAGGAGATGGGCTTTAAGTTCCCTTCCAACCCAAACTATTCTAGGATTCCCTAGTGAAGGACAAGGGGGGGGTGACCCGGTTCTGCTCACCAGCTGCCCAGCAAGGTGAGGCAGGACTGGGTCCAAAATGGACTTTTTGGTGTTTTCTGCCTGCTGACCTCCCTGAGACAGAAAGACACATCTCAAGGATTGTGACACAGAGTAATTCTGGGGTGAATTTCACTTAGCCAGGGCACTTCTGATTAACTGTGAAGCCCTGAAATATCTTTAACTTTCCTTCAGAAGAGGTTCCTGTGAGAGCCAAGTGAGCACAGTGCAATGGGGCTGCCCATGAGAGGGGCCCTGGGGCTGGTGTGGGGCTCTCGCCCCCCTCACCCCCCTGTTCCCCTCCCAACACTGCAGGGCTCTCCCTCCACATTTCACCTTGGGCATTTTCCCAGAAGCACCAAGCCTGCAGGTTTTCGGGAGTGGGACCTGTGAGCCCGTGTTGCTGTTGCAGGTGCTCGGAGCAGCAGGTCCACAACGACCTCCCCACCACCAGCATCATCATGTGCTTCGTGGATGAGGTGTGGTCCACCCTCCTGCGCTCCGTGCACAGCGTCCTCAGCCGCTCTCCTCCTCACCTGATCGAGGAGATCATTCTGGTGGATGACTTCAGCACTAAGGGTAGGTGAAGCCTTTATGAAACTCATATAACTTGAGGGCAAAATGCAATTTGTTCTCTGTAATTCAATTCTAAGTAGGAGAGAAATCACATTTTCTCCTTTCCCTGTATTGAAGTGCATCCCTGGCCTGCGCTGGGGCTGAGGGGGAGAAGAGCACAGGGGGTGCTGGGGCTGGCTGTGGGGGGTGAAGGCAGAGCACCAGGAGCACCAGGAGCTGGGTCCTGCCCAGCCCATTCATCTTTGGGGCGTCCTGGCTCAGGGGTTTGCGCAGTCAGGAGATGCTCTCAGCCCTCAGGGTGCGTGGCTGGTGTTCCCAGTGTGGGGGACACACTCCGGGGTGGCTCAGAGCACAGGAGCTGCAGTGGGAGCAGTGCTGAGTGGGATCTGCGCTGCACGGGGCCTCCCGTGGGCATTTCAGCTGGTACCCAACCCCTGCCGTCCGGTGCTTCCTCTCTCTGCCGAGTTCAGCCCCTAAAGGTGCAGGGATGATGTGATTTCCCCGCTGCTGGCTCTCCAGAAGTGCTGGCTGGGCTGGGCTGCACAAGGAGAGCGCCGTGCCCAGATGTTCACAGCCCACAGCTGAGGGCCCTGCAGGCGCTGCCAGGGGAATCTGCTGGTGGCTTTTCAGCGGCTGGCAGTGTGTGAGTGAGCCGGCTGTGTCCCCTGGGCAGAGCACCTGCGGGAGCAGCTGGACACCTACATGTCACGCTTCCCGAAGGTGAGGATCCTGCGCCTCAGGGAGAGGCACGGGCTGATCCGGGCCAGGCTGGCAGGAGCTGAGATCGCCAAAGGTAGGACAGAGCCGTGCTCCGGCCGTGTGCAGACCCCAGAGCGCCGGGCATCCCCCTCCAGCGCCGTGTTTGTCCCTCCCAATGGTCCCAATGTCCCACTGAGGGTGGCCTTTCTCCGGGACCTCCAGCCCCAGCTCCGCCAGCTGCCCCGGCCGGGCTGTGTCGGCACCGAAATGCCGTTCCTGGCAGGAGCTGCCCTGCCAGGCAGGGAAAAACGCTCTTGGCTGTGGCTGGCAGCTCTGGGGAGCCGAGGAGGGCTGTGGCACGGTCAGCAGCACCCCGAGCCCGCAGGCTGCCCGGGGAGCTGCCCAGCAGGGCTGGGCTGGGGTCCCCAGGCTGACCCTCCCCACCCACCCTGCAGGAGCTGTCCTGACCTTCCTGGACTCGCACGTGGAGTGCAACGTGGGCTGGCTGGAGCCGCTGCTGGACAGGGTCCGCCTGAGCCGGACCAAGGTGGCCTGCCCCGTCATCGAGGTCATCAGCGACAAGGACATGAGGTGAGGCAGCTCATCCCTGCCAATCCCACGGACCAGGCTGGTGTCCTGAGCAAAACCCGCCTGGCACCGCCGCCAGTCCGTGACTCCAGAGCCCTGCGCGGCCTCCAGAGCTCCCACAGGGGACACAGAGCACTGCTGTGCACCAGAAATTAACATTTGCTGTGGATGTGGCCCGTGTTTATCACACACCATTTCGCTTTTTCACAGCTTTTAGTACATGAAGATGGTTCCTGATGAAATTTGTTAAAATCCTGGTGTAATTACCTACAGATACTCATCTTCACTCATTAGGGGTGACATTTTAATCAGGAGTGTGACTCAGAATTAGTCAGCCCCATCTTTTCTCTGTTTAGTTACATGACCGTGGACAACTTCCAGCGTGGGATTTTTACTTGGCCAATGAATTTTGGATGGAGGCAGATTCCACAAGAGGTCATAGAGAAAAATAAAATCAAGGAGACTGATATTATAAGGTAAAAAACCAACAAATGTGATAGCTTTGCAAACCAGCCTGTTCCTCTGGTAATAACTTTGCAGCAAAGGCTCCTTCGAGGCCAAATGTTGTTCTTTTGTGGCCAGGTATTGTTCTGGTGCTTTCCAGGACAACTGAGGCACAGGCAGGTCCCCATCAGGCATGGGCAAAGCCCAGGAAGCCTTTCTCCCCAGGCATGGCACTGCTGGTGTGTCAGCCAGGAGAACATTCCGCTGCCTCTTCCCCTTCCCTGCCCCATTTCAGCGTTCAGGCCCCCCAGGTGCCCTCTGTGCCACGGCCGCTGTCACACCTGTGTGACCTGTGTGTGGCCTCTCTGTTCCCAGGTGCCCCGTCATGGCAGGTGGCCTGTTCTCCATCCACAAGCAGTACTTCTTTGAGCTGGGAATGTACGACCCGGGACTGGATGTCTGGGGAGGGGAAAACATGGAGATTTCATTCAAGGTGGGTCAGTGTCACACACCTGCCCCCCTGCCAGCCCGGGCGAGTGATGGGGCTGAGGCAGGGGCTCCCCAGGGCTGGACACCCCCTCTCCCTGGGACCCGACCTTCTGCTGCTCTCGGGGCTGCACAAAGCCGGCGCCCCCATCAGCTGCTGTCCCTGCCAGCGGCCTCTGTTTCGCAGGTCTGGATGTGCGGAGGAGAGATCGAGATCGTTCCGTGCTCCCGCGTGGGGCACATTTTCAGGAATGACAATCCTTACTCCTTCCCTAAAGACCGGGTGAGGACGGTGGAGCGGAACCTGGCCCGGGTGGCAGAGGTGTGGCTGGACGAGTACAAGGAGCTGTTCTACGGCCATGCCTACCACCTGCTCCTGGGCAACGTGGATGTCGGGGACCTGAGCCAGCAGATCCAGCTGCGCAAGAAGCTCCGCTGCAAAAGCTTCCGCTGGTACCTGGAGAACGTCTACCCGGACCTGGAAGCTCCCCTGGTTAAAGCCAGCGGGCCGGTGCGTCCCCAGGGGTGTCACTGTTCTCGGGGGTGGCTGTGCCCGGGCAGCCCCCGTGCTGCAGCTTTTCCTGGCCCTGGCAGCGCTGTGGGTGTTCGATCGGGCACAGATCTGGATTCCAGAGCGTTCTTACAAAGAAACGGGAGCAGGCAGCAGGGGTGACTTCCCTCTGTAGGGCTGGCTGTTCGGATGGCTGAGCTGGGCACAGTGCCAGGACAGGATATGGCCCTGGGGTAGGATGGGCACCGGGGCTGGACGTGCCCTCGGGGTGAGAATTCCCACATCGGGATCCTGCCCTCGCTCCCTGCCCCAGCTCGGGGGCTGGAGAGCAGAGCGGGCTCTGTAGGGTCAGGTCTGTAGGGTCAGGTCTGTAGGTACCAGGTCTGTACATACAGGGTCTATAGGGTCAGGGTCAATAGGGTCTGGGTCTATAGGGTCGGGCTCTGTAGGGTTGGGCTCTGTAGGTACCGGGTCTGTAGGGTCAGGGTCTGTAGGGTCAGGGTCTATAGGGTCAGGGTCTGTAGGGTCAGGGTCTGTAGGGTCAGGGTCTGTAGGGTCGGGCTCTGTAGGGTTGGGCTCTGTAGGTACCGGGTCTGTAGGTACCGGGTCTGTAGGGTCAGGGTCTGTAGGGTCAGGGTCTGTAGGGTCGGGCTCTGTAGGGTCAGGGTCTGTAGGGTCGGGCTCTGTAGGGTCGGGCTCTGTAGGGTCGGGCTCTGTAGGGTCAGGGTCTGTAGGGTCGGGCTCTGTAGGGTCGGGCTCTGTAGGGTCGGGCTCTGTAGCACGGCTCTGCCGCCAGCAGAGCGCAGCAGCCGCTCGCGTTGCCGGGCCCGGGAGGAGGGACCGGTGCGCTCCGGGCACGGAACCTGCGGCTCGCCGGGGGCAGCGGGCAGAGAACACTTTAAAGTCGCTTTGGATTCAGTGCTGCCTCCACAAGCCCCTGGTGGGAGAAGCCGGGTCAGGTTCCTCTTCTCCAGCACAGAATTCCAGAATGGTTTAGGTGGAAGGGGACCTTAAAGCTCAGCTTCTTCCATCCCCTGCCAGGGGCTGGGACACCTTTCACTAGCCCACGTTGCTCCAAGCCCCGTCCAGCCTGGCCTGGAACACTTTTCCGCCCCCCTTAGTTATGTGAGCAGTATTAAACCGAGTCCTGTGAAGCCAGCAGGTCCGGTGCAGTGTAACATCCTCCCCGCTTCTCGGGAATTTCTGTCTAAATGTGCGTTTTGTTGCTGTTTCCCAGCTCGTTAACGCGGCCCTGGCAGGGTGCATCGCTGTGGAAGGCACCAGCCTGGCTTTTGAGGAGTGTGATGTTAACAGCACGGTAAGGACAGCCCGTGTGTCACCCTGCCCGTGGTGCTGGGCCTGCCCCAGGTGGCCTGTCCCCTCCCCGGGGGTGGCACTGCCTTTCCCAGCCGGGGACACGGCCAGGCCGTGCTGGCACAGCCTGTAGCCCAGCAGCAGTGTCAGAAACGGCAAATTCGGCCGGGTTTGTCTGATGGAGCTGTGAGTTTGCACGTGAAAACAGAGGGACATTTAACTACCAGCCTGTGATCTGTGTGCAGACGCTGAACTTCCAGCTTATAGCCCTGCCAGTGCCTCGGCTCCGGAGAGCCACCCAGAGGGACAGGACACAGGGAATGGCTTCCCACTGCCACAGGACAGGGATGGATGGGATCCTGGGGAGGAATCCCTGGCTGGGAGGCTGCTGGAGCCCTGGCACAAGGTGCCCAGAGAAGCCCTGCCATGGAGCCTGACGGGGCCGTATCTCTTCTGCTGTCTCCCCACAGAACCAGAATTTCAACTACACCTGGCTGAGGCTGATCCAGCACGGAGAGCTCTGCCTTGCCCCGTCTGGCGTCGTGGGAGCCGTGGGCCTGCGCCGCTGCCAGCCCAGGAGCCACAGCCTGGCCTGGCTCCACAGGTCACTGGCCACCGTGCAGCCGGGGCTGGTGAGTGATGCTGCGGGGCTCAGCACTGCAGGGTGCAGGGTGCAGGGTGCAGGGTGCAGGGTGCAGGGTGCAGGGTGCAGGGTGCAGGGTGCAGGGTGAGGGTG